GCAAATACCAACTGCTGGGGGGAGGGGCAAACAGAAAGAGAGGTCTCTTGCCTTCGTGCCCTGCATGTGGTCTTCCTGGAAGTCTCCGGCTGACCACCCTGGCAAAGAGGGTGCTGGACAAGATGGCCCTTGGTTCTGATTCAGCAAGGCTCTTCTTATGTTCAACAGCTGACAGCAGATACACTGGAGAAAAGGGGACCGTTCAGTAAATAGCTCTGTGGGGCCTGCTCCTTGACAGACCCACATGCCTTCCATCAACCATCCCTAACCACACCCACAATTGTCCTCTTTTTGTCTGGCAGAGATCTTGCACCTTTACCAGGTGCTCCCTAGCACTGCATCCTCATGCTGGTGCCAGCAGCATCCATGGAATTTCCACCTGTTGTTCCGCTGTTAAAGGGATGGATACCTTGCTGGATAAAAAGAAGATCCCAATAGTAATTACACCATAGCCAGACATTGATCCACACCTCTCCTCTTGGCCAGATGCTACTCTTTGCAAAAAGAGACACAAACTCTAGGAAGGCTCAAATGCCAGCTTCAGTTTATAGTGGGCAAGCTGCCATGGGTGCAAAACAAAGTTCTGTCAATTTGCATTACTGATTTTGAGCAGAGATCTTGGATTTCCTTAGCAAGAAGTTAGTAGAACAACCTCCATCGCATATATACACACCCTCCCCAATCAACCACCAATCTAGAAAGGATATATAGTTTTTTTCCCACAACATAAAATGGAATATTTAGTTAGACTGTATAAAAGGATGTAAGCTTTTGATTTTCACTGAAGTCTTCGACAGTCTCACACAAAGAATTTGGTGGAACCTGAAAGCTCGCACACTCCTTCCATCAACCTGTTCTGCCATTTGACTTTACATAGCACCTCCTTTTCTTTGGCCCAACAAAGTATACATCAATATCTTAGCAAACCAGCCCACAGGTAGGAGTAGAAATGTAAACCAGCTTGGTTGTCACCAAGATACATCAGAATCAGATACATCTCTGAGATTGACATCCTTTCTCCCCCAACCTCCTGTCACACAGAAATGGCCTTATTGGACTGAAACAAATGGCCACAAGCCAA